TTTTCTGCTTCAATAGTAGTATTTGATCTGAACCACTTGATATTAACCTCCTTGAATTATTATTCTTTAATTGTGATTCGAAAATAGCTATTAAGCTTATTTATTTTGACCTTGTATCATTTATTTGTGTGGTTTAATACTCTCTGTATATGTTCCCAGTGTTATAAAGTTTTGTATTTTCATTCATAGGGACCAAACCACGCATACTCTGGCGATGGACATGATAAACTCATGGGTTTTATGAACAACACATTTCCCTTGGCTGTTTATGGTCTGCAAGATGTTTTTAGTGGTTTCATCCTTTTTTTGAAACTGTGGACATYGAACTCTGATCCCAAACTAATAGGAAGATGGTATTTTGAACACTTGTGTAGCTCCAGAGGTAATGTTTATGTTGGCCAAAAAATATTATTATTATTGTTATAATTATAATTATAATAATAATTATTATTATTATTGATGCTGTTAAGAAGGCACAACTGTCACTTACAATTATTTTCCCATGCAATAGTTTTAGAAAGTGTTGGAGCACAACATTCAGCTTACAACAACTTAGGTGTATACAATTTGCTTGGTTTGCTGTAATTTATCAATTAGATATACTTCAAAATAGTTCAGGAATTTGAATTTGAATTTTTTATCTATAAAACATGAAAACAAAGTCTTGATCTGTTAATAATGATCTTATTGTACTGTTTTAAATCAATGGGGAGACAGAGGAGTTTTCATCTCGTGATATCTTAGTAATCATTCCCTTAATCAACTTTATATTTCTAAAATTGGAGAATCATTTAGTGGGTATTACTTTATATAGATATTTGTGCTATGTATTAATAAAATATAATATATGTAACTTTATTTTTATAGTGATCAGCTGTTTCCTGAGGCTGGATAAAGGGACAGAGACTGGTGAGATGGCAACAATTCATGCTTATCTGAGAAACAGCCATGAAGATATTGCAAATGACAAAGAAGAAGCAGCCAACACAGTTCACTATGGACCTTCTACTAATAATAGGGTAACTACATCAACTATAATTTTAGATGAAAAAGAATTTTTACTGTAAGACTAAAGTACTATACTAAAACAATGAACCCCAATTATTTTGTGCAAAAACCAAAAGTACAATACTACAGAATGTCCTTGATGGACAATAAGAATGGTGGGTACAGAATTCTTGTCCAGAAGAATCCTGGACATTCTGTGCTAGTGAGCAGAGTGGATGGAATGACGTTCTTTTCTTTGGGATAGTAAGTGTAGAAAATGTTTTAAAGAAAACCTGACCTTCTCAATGAATTTTTATTTTTCACAATAAATGATTTCTAGTTGATTTTTTGATTTGGCTTTAGTGCCAATAATAAGTGTTAAACAACACCAAACCATCGCACAATGTGTCTGTCACAGAGACTAATTAATTACAGTGTAGTAAATTTGAAAAAAAAGGGGGGGTTTTGGGGTTAAATATAAAATATTTGCAATTTACTCAAAATGATAAATTTGTCTCATTTTGTTTGACGTTGTGTATGGTTTGATGCTTCTATTCTGGTCATTTGTTAAGATCTGCTCTTTTGTAGACAAGAGATCATATTTTAGGTAACAACAATCAAGCAGAACTTGATTTTTTCCAAAACCTTCATTTAAGCACTAGCACTGGTGCAAAAGGTGATGCAAATAATTGACTAGAAGTCTTTAATGTTCAAATTAAAATTTTTTTTATTTTTCAAAATAAAAATTCACTGAAAAACTGTCCTGAAACAAATATATAATAAATTGTTAATCAATGTTCAAAACACTTTCTTGAATCAGATCGAAAGGTGGTGGCGAGAACTTCATCACAGACTGGAAAAGTTTTTCAAGGGACAATTGAAAATGTTGCTAGATGAGGGCTATTATGACCCAGACAATGAAACTGACCGACACTTATTGGCATTTATTTTCATACCTGTGATTCAAAAGGAAATGGACATATTCCGTGAAACRATTTGGAATTCCCACAGAGTAAGAGCTCAAAAAGATGCACAAGTTCCAAAGGGGATACCAGAACACTTATTCAATTTTCCAGAAAGTTATGGTGCTGAAGAATGTGGTATGTGCCTCTCATTCATGTGAAAATGCTTTCGTTTCTAGAAGTCAACACAGAGCTACAAAATATAGATGTCATAAGTCCATAATTTCTTTTTGCATTGTGCACTTTGTACTGGCTTCATTAAAGCCTATAGTAATTAAGTAAGGTACATGATAGTACCAAAAATAGGACAGATAGAAAAGTATGATGATATCATGTGCTATGCAAAGAAGCCATCATRTTAAATTCAGATTTTTATACTAGCTATTTTATATTTTGAAAATTGATTCATCTAACAATTCTCTATCTGACATTCCAAGGAATGCCCTTGACCCAAGAAGCACTTGATGAAGTGGCAAGGTTGTCAGACGTCATGACTGTTGGGGAGGAGTACTTACCTGCAGCTGTGAAAAGGAAATGTGAGCAAATTATTCCTGATGTTGATGGTATAAAGCCAATAGAAGCTGCAGATTCTTATTTATTCTTGAAAGCCCACTACAATTAAAATAGGGGGGGAAATGATTCATCAAGCTCTTTTTTATCCATCAACGTATCTTTATTTATGACATAGAAGGCAATTATAAGATAACATATGTCAAATGCTTATAATTCAATGCCATGGAAGATCAATATTTACTTAACTGTAACTGTGATATAAATGCTAGGATAAAAATTATAATCAATTCGATGATGTAAGGGAATTGATTAAAACAAGCAAAAAGACATTTCTATAGGCCTAGCTGGAGTGCAAGTAGTTGACCTATGAAATAAAGCAATATTTATGCTATTTTATGACAATTATTATTACAAGTAATACCACATATACATAAAATGCTCGTTTATGATTGGTCGATGGACTGTGAATATATTTTTTAATTTATGTAATGATTGCACTCATCCATCCTGGCGTGCTTTCAATAAACAAACGAAAAATTTTAATGTTTTGCGTACGCCATTTTTTATCAGAGACTCCCAATTTCTGTAGATGTGGTATTAATAGTAGGAAATTACACCTTAGTTCTTGAAGAATTGATAAAAAATACTGCTTGTATTTAATGAAAGAGGCAGAATACCACTTAGGCTACGCACTTGTGGTATTAAGCCACTTTAATCAAATATGCAAGATATTTTTCATTAATTCTTCAAGAATGGTGTAATTTCCTATACAAATATAACCAATATATAGGAATTTCTGTCTTTTTGTGTTTGATATATTCCACTGTTCTATCTGATATTTTTCTAATATGCACTTTCATGCAATTCAAGGTCGAACATATGACAATATCTATTGCATTTGTGGTCCTTTAAAAATTTGTCTATTCCCATGGAAGACAGATTGCCACAACAGAAATAAAACTCGCTTCTTGGATCATTTTCGTCTTGTATGGCTGTTGTGGCCATTTCTGGGTCATACAGTGAATATCCTGATCCCTGGATGTCGAGAAGCATCAGCTGTTTTTCACTCATTACATATGACATATGTACCAAGCACTGTGCTTTTAGAAAGATGTCCTTCACATCCTCTTTTTCATCTTCGCTGGGTTTTACACACGTACCATCATTGTTTACATATTTTAAAAACTTTCCAGCTACCAATTCCTCCACTGTTACTGGTTCCTCAGCAAATTTGGCATAGTATACTCTGTTGTATGTAAAGCTCTTTCCAAATTTGGCTGGGACCTGACTGCAAAATCGCCCTGTTATATGTCTTGCGACTGCATGCATTTGGACTTGCTTACGTGCATGCACTTCCACAGTCAAAGCACAGTCATCTGTTATAGTTTTCTTTGTTGCATCATGATACTTCTTTAAAACCCACACCTTCCCATCATTAGATGTACACTTGTATGCACTCCTGAATCCACCCTCAGCAAACTTCTCTTCTTCAATATGTACATCAATTGTCATGGCACTTCTCCATTCCTTGCAGCTGACATCAAAGGACTCCAGGTGCAAGGAAGTCCTGATTTTGGGAACAGGTTTTACAAATTTACCAGCTTTTAAAAGATGAGCAATAGATACAGATGCCGGGTAACTCTGTTGGGGTTGTGCTGTCATAGAAGTGAATGCAATAGGTGTGAAACTTGATGCCTGCCCACGTTTTGTGCCATCACTTTCTTCAATCTCATCTTCCACAAAACGAATAAGATATACCTGTTAAGTTCAAATATATTCAGTATAATTTGTAAACAAATTATCAATAACAATAGAAATCTGCCAGTTTCCGGTTAATTTCCAAATGTGAATGGCCGGCTACATAATTCGTCATTTGCAGAGAATAGGTGATTTGCATTATGGCGTCATCTTACTACCACTACCAAAATGCTTCG